CCATGCCCCACGTAAAGACATTAAACTTTGATTACTATTACTATTATTACTTACTATTACTATTACCCTCTATCAACTCTGACCTGATGTGCAATTATTAATAATCAATCATTAACCTTAAATTACTGTTAAAATTCTTGTATAGGACCCCAGTGTATAGCTCCAGGATTTCCCATAGAGGACGAGAAAATTTTGATGCCTGGAATGATTCTATCTGACGGTAAGAGTCACATAAATGCCTATTGTTAATGTTAAAGTTATATGGAGGCCTTAATATAAATAACTGTGAAAACAAGCCCAAGAGAATTTAGGCTTTGATGCGATTCGAATGCATACCTCCAAGACATTAGTTGGGCGCTATTACTATAAAGGCTGAGCATTGAAGCCACAATTTGTAAGCATTAGCATTTTAAGTAGTGCATAGATAATGAGAGTTTGAGTTTTTAGACATTTTACTGTCTCTGATATAAAGAAAAAAACAAAACAGAACAAAGCAAAACAGTCCTTTTGGACCGATAAAAGTAAAACAGCCCAGGTGCGATGATATGTACTATTGAATTATTAGGAGGACAGAACGGGACATAATCGGCCTAAGGTCATAACGTGTGAACCGAGCACACGAAACTATTAATTCATCACCGAGAGCCAATTATTTTCCCGTCTGGCCACTCCTAATTCAGTAAATAAGCATGTAATTATTTGATCGATGCTCTTCCTTCTCCACCTTTCCGCTTTCAGCTCCCATCCCACTGGACCGAAATTGCTTTCCATCCTTACCCGCCCTAACTCACATGGCCCTCATAGGGAGACTTAATTGACAAAATATTTTTTGATAAAACTGCACACGGAGCTGGACGGGTCGATAACATCTATTATAATCCAAGAAATATTTTCGCTCGCGTGAGACTGGTTTAAACGCGTGCCGTGACGAATATGCTTCCTTTAGAAGTTTGCGGTTGGAAGGGCGATTAAATGTTTCTATAGACGATGAGTCAAATTTGTTTGTTGATAAAATCCCACGTAAAAGTGAACATCTATTACAAACAGTAAGCTGCTTGCAAACATTTTGCTCCGAGCTTTTGAAAAGATAACGGAAACGATTTTGTCCAAGGGTACTATCTGTTCCTCGAAGGGGACTGTTCTCTGTGAACACGGATCTCAGAAAACTTTTTCGAGCCTTGTGAACTCTCCGGACAAATCCATGCATATTTACGCGTGAATTGGAGTTACGTTTTCTGTTCTGCTTCTATTATTTTAGTTATTACTAATTATTTAAGACTGAAAGTGTGAGCGACAAAAGTAGAAAATGGCACCCTAGATTAATTGCGTTGGAAAATAATTAAAGAGTAGGATAATTCTTAAAAAGAATCGTCTATGTGAAAGCAAAATTACTTTCGAAATACGTTGCGTTGAATTCTTTATACCGGGGCCGTAATGAGGTATGTCGGATCAGGGATCAAAAGGGTCAGAAGTCTGGCATCAGGGATCCAAGTCTAGTGATGAGGGATCAGAGGAAAAATCCAGGATCGATACCACTTTGGGCATGTCGAAAGAGGAACTTAAATCCTGAGATCACGTAAAGGTTGATTTTTGAACTGGCTGTACAGCATAATGAAGTTCTAAAGAACTGGATTGACCAGAATCTAACTATTGTGCTAAATATAAAATACTCATCAATCGTCGTATTGCGCATGACACATACGCAAGGTTGGGTTTTCACTCAAATACGCAACTCATACCAGAAGTTTCTCAAGTATCATCACATCTCTCATCGGTTGAAATTACTGGTGATTTCGCTTTGCGTCAATATCGCGTCATCTGTGCAGTCTTCTGCCTTCTTCTCTTTTCGCATTGTAGCATTACCTCTGCCCACGGGTAAAACTTTGAAAAAGAATCGAAAGAATGATAAGCTGGTACGTGAAATTCATTTCAACATTCATAGTTAGTCAGTGTCAACTTCGCTTTGCTGGACAACCATGACTTATCAATGCGATGTTGTTTAACCTATTTTCCTGACTTCCTTCAGCAACAGGCTCTGAAACAGGTCACGTTCCCACTCTTGATCGTCCGAGTCAAGTGGTCAGTCCCAGAGACAAACAGAAAGGCGTATTTCAGTACAAACTGACTAATCGTGCACAATAGCTGGACATTTGTTCATATTAGTGAGATGCTGTGGCGGGCAATTCAAGCACGAAAGTGAAACCACCACGATTAGAAAGAAAAGGGCTGAATTCGGCGAAGTTAAGGGAAGGAGACAAAATCAACCACAAAAACAGATCCTGAAACTTCAGGTCACAATGGAAGAACAATAAGTTGACTTACGTTAGCAGCAGGTAGTCTAGGAGAGGGAGAAACATAAAGGCAAAGATTTGTGAGACCCAACCGATCGGTTAGAAAAGAAGGCAAATTTCGAACATATAGTAAGTGCATTACAAAGTTATTTCATATTCTTTATTTGGCTGAGCGATTGATGCATATGTTTAAAAACTGCGTTCACCACTTTTCCGCATAACTGTAAAGAAACTTTCCTAATACTGTTACTATGGTGACTGCCTCATGTATCAAGCATATTTTCTTACCGAAAACAAACAACTGTATTAAAAATTGCTGCCAATGACATCGGAAATGATTCTTAACAGTAAAAAGTGCAAAGAAATGCGCATTAGTTTTTTGCAGTATTGGCCGTTTCCGCCAGCCTCTCTACTTTTTGGTAATTCTCTGATAGAAAAGGTTTCCTGTTACAAGCTGTTAGGGGTTCACTTATCGGAAAACTTAAAATGGAGCGAACTTGTCTTTCATATTATAAAGAAAGGGAACAAGCGGTTATATGTAATACGTGCTCTTAAGAAGTGCTGATTAACTGATAGGCAGCTTATTCTGGTCTACTGTAACATCATCAGATCTGTTTTAGAGTATGCTAGCCCCGCTTGGGCTGGCCTCACGCAATGCGTGATCACATTGAATCGGTACAAAAGAGGGCACTAAAAATAATCTTTCCGTCTTTGAGTTATGAGGACGCGCTTAAGAAATTCGACTTAATTTTTCTGCGCCAGAGGAGGGAGGATGCGTGCATAACATTCCTCAAGCGAAGTCACTCTTCTTCTGACCTACTACGAAAGTTAGTGCCGCGTTGTGCATTCACAAGACCATATGCCCTTAGGACGGGAGAAACTGTGTCTGTACCTGCCTCTCCAAGATCTAATAGATTCGTAATTTTTGCATCATCAAATAACAGAACCACGTTTAAAATACCGAATTACGATTCGTCTTAATACCCATAGTATTTAATATTTCGATAGTATTCAATATTTACATAGTATTCAATGTTTACATGTAATTAATATCTATAATAGTTATATTTAGGTGTAACGTAGAAGTATTTGTAATTAATGACCCGCCTTGTAATTCAGTGTATGCTGCAAAAAGGTTGAATAAACGATTATTATTATTATTGTTATTATTATTATTATTATTATTATGTTATGAGGAATTTTCTTCAGGGGCTGTCTCAGTTGCGTGATGATAGCGTGAAGTGTAACAAGAGTTCGCTCCTGCGGCTTCCGCTATTTCATGTTTTTTCATATTATTAAAAAGTCCATTTTTGTGTCTCCATTAACGAAATCTCATTCTTGTGTGTCTTCATTTAATGCTATTCACACGTATCTTTTTGGAACTATATTTAGTCGAAGATCATGGTATCCAGAGCTCATGGTGGAGACAGATGCAGATGTGAAGACAACCAAGAAAATTTTACTTAAAAATAAAGGCTGATAGTTTCGAAAGAAACTGTTTGGGGCTGCGTCGGTGGGAGTAACGAAATAATTTGGATATATCAACTAAGTTGAAATGGTAAATTGGCCACCGTAACGATTACAAAAGCTGACGTTTCGAGCGTTAGCCCTTCGTCGGAGCGAATGGCGACGAAAGAATGGCTAACGCTCGAAACGTCAGCTTTTGTAATCATTACGGTGGCCAATTTACCATTTCAACTTTGTTGATATATCCAAATTATTTCGTTACTCCCACCGACGCAGCCCCAAACAGTTTCTTTCGAAACTATCAGCCTTTATTNTGTTTTTCTCGTTGCCATGTTCCCACCAATAACGTAGCTCCATTTTCTGCCTTTAAAAGCACACACAACCCACAATTCCTCTATTCGCTCCGACGAAGGGCTAACGCTCGAAACGTCAGCTTTTGTAATCGTTACGGTGGCCAATTTACCATTTCAACTTAGTTGATATATCCAAATTATTTCGTTACTCCCACCGACGCAGCCCCAAACAGTTTCTTTCGAAACTATCAGCCTTAAAACATAGGGTCGATTGCTTCGCAATCAATGATTCCATTTGGTATATACTATAGAAGTAAAGAGCACTTTTCCCGGTCGAAAATTGGCTGGTTGGAATTCAGTTGTGAGAAGTAAATGATCATTCACCGAGCATTTATTTCCTTAGAACCCGGATATTATGAAGATGGCCACTTTGGAGTCCGACTTGAAACAGCTGTGCTTGTGAAAGTTGCCAAAACAAAGGTCAGAAACCATTTCCTTTCCTTGAAAATTTTGGCATAAAAAAATCTAATATAGCTTAAGGCTGGATAAAGGTAGATAGGAAAACGCAAGTAAAAAAGATTGGCTTGCTTGTCTCGTTGTGTTTGTAGCTTCCCTAAAACAATGGATCTTCACAGGTTTGTACCTTGCAAACTTTTACCACCTTAACTTAGCTTCACTTTTATTCATTGGTCAAGTTGCAGGAACGTGTGCAATACAGAGTTGCTAGACATCCGCGCTTTCCTTTCCTCTAAATAACTTTGTCATGGCCTTATAGGTTACCGTGTGGTCTCGCTTAAATCTCAATGTATCCCACCAGGGGTGCATTTCTTTCAGTGCTTCCCTTGACCGATCGAAAAACACCGTAACCGTTGAGACTCATTGAAAACAAACCTACCTGTTCCTCCCCCCCTCCACCTCGGGAACCAGACATCTAACCTCTAGCTGACTTCCGAGAGACTAGATAAGCTCAAAGATAAAATATCACAAATAAAAAGCTTTCCTTTTGCACTTACAGGAGGGTACTATGCCTTTTCGAAAAATAAATCTTTTGAAAATTTAGAAGTTGTAAGTATGTTTAAACGATATATTTTGATCGATCAGAGTGCGGGTAATCTTATAGAAATTTGAAATTGGTTGTCAGTTGTTATAACTTTCTTCTTTCAGCGTAGTATTAAGATGTATATTTCATCTTTTATTTTGAACAGTACCATTTCGATGGAGTGGGCTATCTTGAGTTCGAACCCGTAACATTTGTAAGTACTCCGCTCTGTAGCCAACTGAGCAAAATTCATAACTGTTGAAGTCACGTTTTTCCACTAATTCTTTCCACATTAATTTTTTTCTCTCGTTCTTTCTTGTTTTTCGTCACTTTTTCAATTGTGAGTAGTCTATTTTGCAAATATGCCCGAAGTTAATTGTAGCGCCTTCGTTGCAAATACGAGTCTGATTATTTTAAGTACCATCAATTAACGTCACATGTTTACTACGTCTATTTATTGGTTTGTGAAACCACCTATTTTAGTGCGCCGCTCCTTAATGCCGTGTAAACTGGTTCGACACGCTAGAACTATAATTCGTGAACAATTGATGTCAGTTTGTCCTCGAAACGCCGAAAAAATTATTAGTTATAGCTATGTTCATTTACGCCTTTTTATCATATGTTACACCCGCAAAACATAAAACAGACCACCTCTCATAAGTGGAGGGAAGGAGAGTGAATAGGGGTACGCAAATCCTCCGATCTACAAAATTTTTGAGTGAAGCCATCGATCTTCTCAAAAATTGATAAAAGCCGAATCAACAGGGATTTGTGAAAAAAAGGATGACCTGGGTTGTGTAGTTGTGGGAAGCGAGAGCCATCGAGTTTGGATTCGAGTTCGCGTTCGAAATGGGAATTGGGGTTTAATTTGACTTTCATATATTCTTAGCAGATTTTAATATTGTTAAAAGGCTGATAGTTTC